AGAAGCAGCGAGGCCACAGATTCGGTGGAGGGCGCTCATGCGGATTTTCCACAGAATCCCCTACAGTCCCCTGCCAAGTTCATCTTCAGATGGTCCCTCAGAGTGAGTATATGGCTCCCGGCGATAGGCTTGTAGGCAGATAGTAGCAGCGAGGCCACACAGATTCGGTGGAGGGCGCTCAGGCAAATTTTCCACAGAATCCCCTACAGCCCCCTTGCCAAGTTCATCTTCAGATGGTCCCTCACCATCATCCCTCCTATTTTGTGCTTGTCGCACTGCAAAAAGGTCTGCAGTCGAAGAGTCTCGTGCTCATGGCACGGATGCTGGGGACTGCAAAAGACGGGGACGGGATGTTGGGGAGGGCCTTGATGGGGAGAATGAACGGGTTCTTCTTCGTCCAAGAACAGAGATTGAGGAAAGGGGAGTAAGTTGAGGCTGGGGAGTAAGCCGAGGTCGGCATCCAGGACGGCGAAGTGGGCGTTCCGCAGGGACACATGAGACCTATAGAGAATAGGATGACGAAGTCTGTGTGGACGAAGCGGTTTGTGGATCAGGAAGAGGGGTAACAGATGGAGACAAAACCAAGGGACAAAACCAAGGGAGGTCGGAGCGGTGAAGACGGGGGTGGTGGAGTAGTAGGAAGGTGGGTAACAGACGGAGACAAAACCAAGGGAAATAAGGGTGGTGAAGCCAGGGGTGGTGAAGTGGTTGAAGCAGAAACAGGGGGGGGCAGTCACAGGTGAGACCCCAAGAGGGGGCTGTGCAGGTAGCAATGCAGGCAGGGCCACGAATGCCATGGAGGAACACACTGAGACCAAAGGCAACACAGCAGCCGCTGGTCGGGTTGCGCCTGCCAAATCAATTTTAGAAGCAACCAAGGCCCCGATGAGGAAGAAGCTGTGAACCAAAAAGGTGCAGGCAGGGTCACAAACGGCATGGAAGGGGTTACTAAGACTGATGAGGACGCAGGTGCGACAGGCGCGGGTAATGAAGAAGAGGCTGTGACCGATGTGACAGGTGCAGGTAATGAAGAAAAGGCTGTGACAGATGTGACAGGCGCAGGTAATGAAGAAGAGGCTGTGACAGGCGTAGTCCGGGAGCAGCGTGTAGATACACGAGAAAGTGGATGGTGAATAGACCATCGAAGCATGCTGTAGAACCAGATTGAGAAGCGGGTCACGTGCACAGGGTACCTGTGTTGACGTTTACGAATATAGGATGTCCATCCTTTCGCAAGCATTGTTGGAGAGTGCCCACAAAAAAGCATGCGGTGTGTGGGCGTCACAGGTGCAGTTTTGAAATCATACCAGTTGTTGCAGACATACTCAAACCTAGTAAGCTGGCCTGTAAACACTCCCGCCGGCTGGTGTGCAGGGACGTTAGACGTAGCACTGGGGTAACGAATAACAGGGAAATTCCATTCGGCTGCTATGGGCGGACTTGGAGGTGTGCACCCAAGAATGTGCAAGAGCCATCAGGCGCTGTGGTCTCCTTCCATTTGATGCCATAGTGCTCTGACGGTGGTGGCAAATGTCCCCATCAGAGAACATCATCGATCAAGCAGTATGTGAACACATACTGTTCAGCTGCGCAAAGATCACGCTGTTGGAGGTCATCAACAAAACGCGCCTCGTCCCATGTCTATGAACTAAGAGAGCGCAATTTGCAAAACAAATGGCGAAAAACAAAAAAAATACACACAAGAAAACAAGACCAACACCATGGGCACACTGAAAATTTTCACTTTTCTCATTCTCCTTTTAACTCCCCCTTCACCATGCCTCTCGCGTCCAAGGCTCGCCACGTTGATGAAGTTGAGTGCGAGCTGTCCACATCCCCGTGTTCCATAACGGCCCACTTGTACACTGTGAGGAAGAGGCAGAGCAAAGGGAGAGGGGATAAACACAGGGAAGAGAGAGAGAGAGAGAGAGAAGACAAACATAGAACAACAAAGGGAAAGTATGGAGTGTGGAATGAAGATGAAGGCAAAGGAGAGGATAAGAAAAGGCTCAAGAATGAGTCTGTCCTTGACGACAGAGAGGACATTCATTGTAAGGATGAGGTGGATGCAACAACTGCCACAACGGCTGGCACTGAGCGTGCCCACCATACACCCCCAACAAATGACAAGTCACCTGCGGGCCAAAATGAAGGAAGAATGCTCACCACAAAAGACCATGCATTCAGTATATAGCGCCCATGGCCACAAAATAGACACTATATATTGTCCAGATGCGCAGCGCGCCTGCACTCAGGAACGGAGGGACAGTTCTGTTCACACATGGATGCAGAAACCCTGCAATCGTTGTAGTGATTGTGCCAGAGACGATTACTACTGGAGGCCAGTGTATCAGTATTTGTAGATGTGCAAAAGGAGGAGGTCACAGAGTGTTGATACATACTCTGCTGCCGCATGGGCATGGAGAAATGATCCTCGACATACGGTCTCGCCGCAAGAGACTACCCGAACCGCAAACTCATGAGGGCTCGCACACTGAGGGCTCATGAACTCAAAAAGTTCCTTAAACCACCAGCACATCCGCAAAAGCAGATTGGGCCTCTCCCGAAAATTCGGTGGCCATGGACTGTCGATCAAATGAATCACAGCAGTTCATGGCCTCCTATTTAAGGAGAGGCCCCACTCGAACGCCGCACTAGACAAGCGAAGTGAGAACATGAACGTGGCAAGAAAAGAACTCGACAAACAAAATTTACAAAAAAAAGCAGGAATGAAAAACAGCAAAAGGAGACACACGCCCAGACTCGTACGTTGTACGTTGTATTCGGGGGAAGAAGGTAGCGTGCAAGCATATAGGTGCTGAAGACAACCTCTCGCACGCGACCTGGGGCATCTATTCCTATCCCTCCCTGGCACGTCGCTAATGCCCCTGAGTGCCACATGACGCTAAACTTTGGCGAGACTTCGTTTCGTGCGGTATACGGCGAGGCCCATAAAAAAGTGTGCGGACGGTTTGGTGTGGCGTGTGCGGACGGTTTGGTTAGGCAAGGAAGTGGCATCGATATGTACGAAACCAGTACCATCCGTCATCGCCGGCACCATGGTCCCGTTGTCCCACAGCTCCCAGAGGTCAGAGGCAGTACAAATATGGGACCATGGTCCCGTTGTCCCACAGCTCCGTATACAATGCAGGCAGGGATGTGGGATGGCCAGTGCTGAAACCACTCATCTGCCTGAGCATTGGGTAGTTTCAGTTGGTGGTCCCCACATTGCTACACGTAGCACCACAATTGCGAAGTCTCCTTCCTTGGTATGATTACCATCCTCTGCCTGTAGGCAGGGGAGATCATCATCAAGCTGAAGGGCGATTGCAAGGAAGTCCGACAGTGTATAAAGACGTCGGGAAGGTGTATAAGGTGGGCAGTGGGCAGTGGAGACTGTGCAGACAGACATTAGTTCCAGCCATATCGTCATAGAGAACTGCCCAGTGAACCGTACGCAGAAAGGGAGAAGAGGACAACAGACGAGCTGCTGTGACAGACTGTTCCGTCAGAGTTTCATCAACTCATCAGCAGGCTGCCGCAGAGTCACAGATTCGAAACAACGCCTATATGTCACATATATGACGCATACGTAATGTCACACATATGACGCATACGTAATGTCACATTCACTGCATATATGTGGACGTGAACGACAAGTGGAGGATAGCTACAACGGTAGTGATGCTCTCTCTCTCTCTCTCTCTCTCTCTCTCTCTCTCTCTCTCTCTCTCTCTCTCTCTCTCTCTCTCTCTCTCTCTCTCTCTTCACACGCACACAATCACCAACATTATCACAAGCCTTTCCGTTTCCAATAGGATTGCAGGGTTGGTGTGCATAGTCGACCACTTTTCTCTAGAATAGCTACAACGGTAGTCTTGCTCTCAGTGATGCTCTCTCTCTCTCTCTCTCTCTCTCTCTCTCTCTCTCTCTCTCTTCACACGCACACAATCACCAACATTATCACAAGCCTTTTTGTTTCCAATAGGTTTGCGGGGTTGGTGTGCATAAAGTCGACCACTTTTCTCTCTCAAGGGTATCGCTAACTTCGTGCGAAAAGGTGAGTCCTTATCCATCAGCCAAATGCATCCTGGACAGACTCACAGATTCCACCTCCGGATGAACTCACGCCTTTCCTTGTGAAGTTGTGCTCATTGCCAGTATCACCTCCTTCCCTCCTCCTCACCTCACCCCGCCCTAGCCAGTATCACTTCCTTCCCTCCTCGTCCTCCTCCTCCTCCCATCTCACCCCGCCCCCGCTCTTTCTCCTCGGGGGCCAGCCCAACACACAAACACACACAAAAAGGCCCCTTTTCCCCTTGTGGACCACAATCCCCCTCCTCGAGTCAACAAACCAACCGCACAACAAACAGGAAACAAATTCTACCCTCTGTACGGAACCAGATGGGACATCAGTACCACAAATAAGTTGAAAATTTTAACTTGGCAATAGGTAATAAGTGCTAAAAAAAAAAAAAAAAAAAAAAGGTGCTAAAAGAACCCCTAAGTACCAAAACAAGTACAATAAATACTAGTAAGTAAAATAAGTAGCAGCCAACTAAGGCGACGAATGACCGTGCCCCAAAACTTACTCGCACTACTGCAGTTTAGTTTCGTTAAAAACTTACAACATTAGTCTTCCCCCATCCCCCAAATAGAACGCCCGGTCATTATAGCTGTATCTAGACGGATAGTTGCCACAAATACTACAGCTTTAATGCCCATGATGACGAGGTGGCGAATCTGCAGTTTCGGGTCGTGAATGCTGCCCCCTCTCCACTGAATCAAAAGTACCCCTTCCCCCCAACCCCTCTTCGCGCCTTGCACCGCCTCCTTGCACAAGAAGGGAGACTCCGAGGCACCCCCGCCTCTGCAGCCCCATTTCGCGCATCCCACCGCTTTCCCAAACCCTAGCCACCTTGGCTAAGGATTGTCGTTTAGTGCCCAATCATAGTCAGTGCCACATAACCGCGCACCGGGGCCGGAAGATGCACTAAACGACAAATGTCTCGGGTGTTTCGAGCTGCCAATAAAGCGAAAAAAAAACTGCATTATACCTTTCTCGGCCTTTTGGCTAAGATCAAGTGTAGTATCTGTTCTAACCAGTTGAAAAAAAAAAAAAAAAAAAAAAAAAAAAAACACTGCACCTTGTTTGTCTTCTTCTTCTACCACTACAACTAAACTGTGCTACTTATGTCTATCAATCTTCTTCATCTTCTTCTTCTTCTTCATCTTCTTCTTCTTCTTCTTCTTCTTCTTCTTCTTCTTCCTCCTCCTTTCGCGGTCTGCTTCTTCTTCGCATTCTTCCTCTTCGGACATCGCACTCGACGTTTCCCAGGTTAGCATCATGGAACGCGGCACCACATGCGCCTCAACACACGTCGTTTCTTATCCGATCTTCGTCATCGTTTCTTTCCTTCTCCTCTCTTCTCCTCCTCTTCCGCGTTATGACGGGAGTGCCTTGTCAGGCCACGTAACCCTCCCAAGCGTCTTTTCTCTTCTTCTTCTTCCTTCTTCGCCTCCACGTACCCCACGCATCCCAGTGTAGCTTCCGCGGCGAACACCACCACCGCCCAGTTCCGTACGCTTCACAGACCTTCCCCGCAAGGGCGCTTTCCTTTTCGGGGATGAATGAGACGATTCAAGGAACAGTTGTTGTCCAGTTGCGTTTATGTGTAGCCACGTGGCCTTCCTTAATTCCAGTGTTTTGAATCAGCTTCTGCTTCTGCAACGTGCCTGAGCGCTTGTTCCCCGGTCCCTCTCTCCTCCGCCCTCTCCGCTCCCCGTCTCTCTTCCTGTCATCCTCTCCCCCTCTTGCCGGCGGCTCGCTAGCCATGGCGCTAGAAAAAGGGCCATCGCTTCTACACATGGAGATCGCCTACCCTTACTGCCGGTGCCTGAGCTGTTTATATCACAAAGACACTTTCATACGAACAGAGCTCATGTTAGACATGGAGATCGCCTACAACAGCAGGAGACGAAAAGAGAAAGAGAAAGAGCGAGAGAGAGAGAGAGAACCGCGGCGACGGGGGGGAGGGGGTCAATCAAGTAAACAAAGATAACAGACGCGAAGAGAGGACACAGAGGGAGGGCGAAAGAAAGGGTGAGACGGAGGAAGTCCAGAGCGAAGGGAAAGATGAAACCAAGGCGGCGGGGAAGAAAGGGAGGAAAGCACGACAAGGAGGACAAGGACCGAGTGAAGAAATAGAACGCAAC